TTTCCTAAGGAAATTGGGAAAGCGCCCTTAAGAAACTGTGAAAAGAACAATTGTCAGTGACTATAATAATAAATATTTCTGAAGAACACGGCTATAGAAGACTAGGCCTACAGTTAAGCGATTAATGTGGGAACACAGCCGTCTGAGATGTGAAGTGGTTCTCAAAAATGAATGGCTTCGGCCAACTTTGAAAACGACATTAAACATTTAAACACCTGAGTTTAAATTTAAACTGTACTAAGAGTCGATATATGTAGTTGGGACTGTGAAAGACAAGAGTGATTCGGTGGTTTCTTTGGCCTTCGGAATATCGAAGATAACATTTCGTGGTTTCGTGATAGAGAGTCGAGAAAGGCAATTATTCTTAATCAGCTATTAAAATTAATGCATTTGAGGCCGGTAGTGGTTTTAAAAGTTGTTTTAAATATTTAAAATTAGGTTTGTCGAAAGGGATGGCGGTTCTTGTGTGTGTGAAGCGGGCACGCCTTTGTATCTGTCGAAAACTGAGGACGGGTTTTCGAATCCCTGTCTTGTCATGAGTGGAAGTTCAGGTTTCTTTATATTGAGTCGTCCTTTGTAAGTAAAAACTTTGAAATGGGCCAATTCCTCATCAAAGGAATTTTATAAAATGCCTATTAAGGATTAAATGGCTTAAATTACTCCAGAATTGGAACTCACCAGAGGGTGAAGAAATATCATGTCGGAAGAACAATATCCATGAAAAGACGTTAGCGTTATCGTTTAAAAACCAGATACTAGCATGTGGGAGTAAACATTTTATTGGGAAAATGCTGTGTTATATCTGTTGCGTGAGATATTAATCGATTCCAAACTTTTTTCTTTATAGTCCTTGTTTTACTGCCTTATGAAAAGTAACGGATCTGACAGAATCTTATAGAATTTTTAAATTTTTACGTCTGTTTCCATTCTTATTTCTTACGACGTTTTTAAAAATTATTAATCTGTTGATTTAAATATTTCTATCTTTTGTCGGTAACAGTTGTGTCCCAGGGAAGGTACAGAATTTATTCTTCCTAATTGTCCTCCCTTGTACATCAAATTCCCTGTTGTGGTTTCTTCCCTCAAATTTTTCCGGCTAACGTAAAAATATTTTCCCTGATAAATTGTTACGGTGGAAATTGTGCACGTAATTCGACCACTAAATAGTATCAATTTGAATTTATAGTTCTTCACTCTGCGATGTACAGGCTCGATTAAAACATTCTTGAAGGAATGGAAGCTCTGTTTTCCCGAGAATATTTTGTTATTATTGAGTTTGTTATTTATGTTTGGGGTTCTGGTAGTAATTTTTGAGGTCAGAAGTGTTCCGCTGTCCGTAAAGTTGCGAACTGGTGATGTAGTGGAAATGAATGGGACTTCACGGATGATTCCTCGGAGCAAGACGCACTTTTCCCTCGAGTGTTCCCTAAATAACTTTGCTTCTGTTACACAGAAGATGTGTAAAAAGAATGAACTTGCAAAGTGTTGAGGGCGAACTATATTTACGCTTCTTTCTTTCAGTGCGCTCTATGCGTAATGCGTGATGGCGCTCGCGTATGGTAGAACCAAAATTAAATATTGTAGAATAATTTATTAAGATGTTTGTTACTAGTAATTAACGTTAACGTGAATTTTTAGGAATATGCTTCTTGTGGGTGTTTGCAAATAGAAGTTAAAAATATCTATAGTGCAGCGTCCCGATGTGTATTCTTCAGGTACTAAATATTAATTCACTCGTCACTTTCTACACACTTACTAAGTGTTTATCGAACTACAAGTTCCGAACGCATGCGCCAATCTTCAGGTTCGACGTGTCTACGTTGTTATTGCAGTCCAGAATGCAGTAACTGCGTAGTACGAACGCGGGAAGTGTTAAGTGACGAGTGAAGAAAGTTCAAGAAACAGAGGTTAAAAAATGTTTAGCACCTTCACTGTGTCGGTCTGTTTGTCTGCAGAAACAACTCATTAATCGCTGAACGGATATTCTTGTAATCTGATATTAGGCAATTTTCTTAACACTTGTCTTAACATTAAAAATTTCTGCTAAATTCGGTCAACGTATTGGACACGTCACACAAAGACCTTGTACCGTTTCTGAGCGCGGAAATGACTGCGCTTGGGAAAAGCACCCACCGTTTGGGGAATCCCCATTTGAAGTACTCCGTGATGACTTCATCTATAAGCACGTACTCCATCCACGCACAGGGTATTGACCCCCAGACAATTCTGACGTCACTGGTAGAATTTACGAAGGTCAAATGCCAAGTTCGGGCGAGCGTGCTAGAATTGTTATGCAGTGCATTAATTTTTAACATTATTTTATGCTTTATATGTGGGTTTCGATGTAAAATTACTGTAACTGTGAAGGAATTGAAGACTAGAATTTGGAAGAATTGTCTGGAATTGATCGATGTTTGTGTGATACGGTTACTGGACACTAGTCATAATGGTGAATTATGAAGAAGAGGAAGATGATGCTGTTGTGGAGATTAAATGTCAGTTGTTATAAACAGGTACGAAGGTTTCTTTAACCCATAGGAAGAAACATTATCATAAATAGCGCCATTGCCATAGAGCACAAGGTTGTATGTTTTTATGATACATAAATTACAATCTCTTAACTTGGGTCGGTGAGTGGAACAATGGAAGGTCAGATAGATAGAATAACGTCAAAATTGCAATACTGGAATATGTGCGCGAACCAATGAGAGCGATTGGGTGTGTACTGCTGACCAATAAGTATGGT